TTTTCGTCTGCTCTGGTGCAGAGTCTGACCCTCTGTTCACGGCTTTGCTTATTGTACATTATACATTGGCCTGTGACAAATAAAACTTTGAACTGCTCTTTAGTGGCAGCATCTCTCAAACCTGAAACATAAAATACAATAATATACGATATACAACATCGTACATCAAAATATTTTCCCATATGTACTCCAGATGTTTCTTGGTATCAGTTATGTCTGAAAATGAATGAGGTAACTCCATCTACTCCTGAAGTTAACATATTTGTAATCATAATTCACTCAAAAATGAAGTGAATACAAGGTGGTTTAGAAGTTCAGGCTTTAAATTAGTTTGCACTCCTCAGTTATGTTTTCATTACACCTTGTATCGCCTCTTTTCTGAGCTACTTCAGTTTTGAGAAGTGCAATATACATAACATTTATCTTTGTTGTCTTATCAGTGGTTTGAAATGCTGGGCCAAGCCTGCTTTGAGTTTAGTGTCAGCAAGTGATATTTTATGGCAGAATTCAGATGTGAAGTGGCAGAAATCCTATCAGTAAAGAAACATTAGTTCAGAGTAATAATGAAGGGCCCTGTTATGAAACAGCTTCTTAATCAGAGAGATGGATGACAGGAAGGGAGGAATGCTATCGTCTAGACTTCCCTCTTCCTCTCTCTTCGCTGGCCTCCTCTTTACAGACCTCCAGATGGAGGATTAACAGTTCACTTGACGCATTTCATGATGATGTGGACAGGTCTCTCTCTTTCCAACACAATGACTATCTGACTTAATACACACACACACACACACACACACACACACACACAAACACACACACACACACACACAAACACACACACACACACACACACACACACACACACATACATACACACAAAGTGAATGACTTGTGTCTGTATGTAGTTATGTTTGCATCACACATATTGGGACGCAGTCATTGTCTTTTCTACCCTGCTAACTTCTGCCCCCTGTCTGTTGTCATGGTAACTACAGTCTGACCGGGAAGCGAAAGCACAGTATAGCAGAAATTCTGATTTTCTGGATTATTTGTAGTCAGGATGTGCTGCTCTCATCCTGTTTATCTTTAAGATTCCTTCAGAACATTTTTTGGACTTGAGATGTAAATTATTCAGAAAAACTGTGATATTTGAGTCACAGTAGGCCACGTTTGTTTCTAAAAGCTGTGCTGCTGAGACGTAACCATCTATAATACCCAGAAATCCTGAATCTAATGTCATTAAACCACACACAGCGTGCTCATGTCTTCTAACCTGATCAGTCTGTAATTGAATCCAAACAAAACAAGAGAGGAGACAGATCTAATGTTGCTGAGTTCAGGTTTCTCAGGACAGAGCGCTGGTTCACTGTTTTACACAGTTTGTGTTTTTAGGCTTGTAAGATGGTTGTATGTGTACTTGAAAATCTTGCTGAGTGCATTTTAAATGAACATTGACAAGATCTATTCATCTGCCTGATGCACATTTTAAGCACCAAGCTTATACCAATTTCACAAAACAACAAGAAAATGAAATGTCACTCCCATCAGCCTCAGTGATTCTTTTTTAATGAGAATACTATCTGACTGAAGAGACTCATCATAACATTGTAGACATGAAGATGAGTTTATCTGTGCTATTTTACAGGGAGCAGAGACTTTGTTCTCTGCACCATCTTGAGGGTTATTGCAAAGATTTCTGGAAAAACAGAAAGATATTCAAATCAGTCTCCATACTCCAGATACAGCACATTGACAATCTCCAAAAAGCTTCAAATTAAGTGATGGAATGAACACAGACTATGTGAGTATGGCTCCTAAGCTTTTACTTACAGCCTTCTCCAGTATTCTGTGTTATCTGGAGCTCAGTTGATTGCCGTTCCCTCCAGCCAGCACTGTTAAGAATAACTCACCAGTTTGCAACAGGCGGCCTCTGGTGTGTAGAACAGACACAAGCCGTTTATCTGAAAGTATAGACCTTTCTATTATTGGAACTCGCCTCAAGCCTGTCTGGTTATTTTGTCTGAATGAAGGGAGCCACAGTTTGTTGATTTTCAAGAACTGGCCGCCTGCACTAGGGGTGTGTTCGGGCCGACCGCCTGGCATATAGATATTAACTTCACTGCATCTGCATGTGGCCGAACCACAGAGGTTCATTTAGGTTACAATTTAGCTTTTTGGTCACACAGTATACAACCTGTTAAATAAATAAATATTGATGCTCAGTTTACGTCAAGTGAATATAATGTATAACTCTAACAGACACACGAGAATGTAAAACTTCTGTCTCTCAGGACAGTCAAGGCCCAGAGGGTAGATGTTACACACCCTAGATGACGTTCATGTGAACAGGGGCTATCAATCTCTGCATGATCATCTGTAACTGATCATTTGCAAAACAAATTGAACTTGTTGCGCAGGGGAAACAGCACTTTTTAGCGCTTATCCTTGTTTTTATTTTGGTTGACTGCAGAGTTGATTGAAAAGTTGATTGACAAACAATAATTTCATTATCAAAATAGTTGCCAATTGATTGTCTAAGTAAATAAATGTGAATATTTGCTGGATTTCTTGTCTTCTACTGAAAATCTTTGGATTTTAGACACCAGGTTGGACAAAACAAGGTCGGATGGACATTTATCAATTAATAATTAAAGATAATCATTAGTTCCAGCATCAGTTAACTAAGATAAACAACAATTCTTTCACAGTAGACACATGTAGGATATGATTTTGTGGAAATATTGCTGTACTGAGCTGGAAAATGAGCCGTGGTCTCTAACACACACACACACACACACACATCCAAGGATTGAAAACATCAACCAGTAAAAGCTGTAAATCACATTTTTATTCATCTGACACAAAATGAAACGACAAACTGGAACTGCTGCATGTATAAACCGCATACTCCTCTCTTTTGCTCCACTCCATGACTCGCCCAGCCTCTTACATCGATCCAGACGTGCATCGATCCAACCCCCACCCTCCCCACCCACATGCACACTCACACACAGACACACACACAAACATACACACACATTTTTGCATTCTGAGCTCCACTCATCTGTCTGGAGCAGTGACAAAGTCGTCTGCAGATAGCACCACCTTTCCTCTAAGCGTGTGTGTGTGTGTGTGTGTGTGTGTGTTTGTAGAAGCAGTTTGTGCGCAGGGTGTGTCACAGATGTAGGTGGGTTACAGAAGGTGCAGAAGGTGTGCGTCATCTGGTCTGCAGCGTATGCATGCAAGGGTGTGTCAGTGGTTAACAGCGCTACCTGAAATAGCTTCCCATTTCATGCAGAGGTGCAGAACTACACACATGCCGAGCTTGTTCTGTGGTTTGAGACCTGTGTGTGTGTGTGTGTGCGTGTGTGCGTGTGTGCACACCTGTCACCTATGAACAATTGGCCAGGGCTTTCCTCCTCATTAGGCATCTTCAGCATCTTCACCAAGACGTACAGCTTCCCTGCAGAGAGCATACACACACACACACACACTTTTTTTCACTCACATACATATACACATTTATGCTCACACACAGTCATAAGAACACACATGCTGACAGTGAAAAGGCAATTATACTACCTACATCATAGCACTCATCATCACTTAAATCCCCATACACCCTCACGTCTGCAACACCTACAACTTTTCTGCTAAACACACACACACACACAAACACAAACACTCGCCCTCAAGTTCATTCACACCAGTCCAGTTGATCCATATTTCACCCTGAGCCTCCATTAAGCAGCAGTACCCCACAGACAAACTCAGTGACTGCAGCACAGTGTAAAATAGATTTGCTCTCCCAGGCTGATAAACAGGTGATTATTTTTCCCCGTGGCTGTGGTTTCTCCTTTTTTATGTCTTCTCTGTTCAAAATGAAGAGAGGGAAAATTGTGTGTACCTCAAGTCAGAGACTGATTGAGGTGATGTGAGGAAGACTATCCTCTGCACAGTTTTGGAGCAGTGATGATAGCAGTGGATCTGGATTGGGAGGCACACGGAAGCTGGATGGAGTTAACATCAGTTTGGTAGTTAATTGAGTTTTGAGAGTTGTCAGGATGAGAGAACATGCAATTTCATATTGAAATATTACACTGGAGGAACGTTTTCTGTGAGTTTACTACACAACATTTCTCTCCTCTGAAAAGCTGAAAAGCTCGTTTGAACTAGAACTATCAGCTTTCAGCTGTCATTTTATGTTTTTATCCTTCGTTTTTTGGAAGAATTGCAGTTTCCTTTCTCTTCCTTACTAGTTATATTGATTTAACTTCACTATGAAAATACAAGAGATCCAACATTAGCAGGTACACTGTATTTTTCACTGGCCCATAGTCCTCGTCCTGTTGGTTAGCAGTGATATGTATATGCTTGGAGCACAGGTGCCGGGGCCACCTGTGCTCCATCTTGAGGAAATTACCATAAACTGACAGGAACATTATGTCTGCCATATTTCACCCATTTTTACAATAATTTTGGAGTAGATGATTTAAGGTTTGCATGACCTGTGTTGTATTTTAGCAATAGAATTTCCTCAACATATTTTTCCACTTGGCTTCAGTTTGGAGAGGAAGATCACACATACCTTTTTTTTTTTTTTTTTTTTAAATTGAAACTCACACAAACTAGCAACATAACCTGTCAATAAAGTATGATTCTACACTGTTGTGCAGTTTAGGGTTTAGGGTTAAGGCTTCTCTTTCCAGAGGTGCTGTCTACACTAGAAAGAACAGTGAGAGAGAACAGTGAGGACTCCCTCCTACAGAGGGACATTGCAAACCCTTTTCCTTCCATGTAGACAGATGCTGGTCACTCTGATGTCATTTTTGGCAATCAGCAATTCCATTTAAAGCCCTCTTCTCTGCCTCCCAGGTGTAAATTACAGCAGCAGGGAGCTCCTCAGCCCTGGGTCTCTGAACACATGTGCTAAAAGTTGTACTTGCTAAAATCTTGGTACACATTAGATCAACTCCCATTTCTTTTTCTCTTCACTGCAGTGACAAACTTCAACAATGGCTTGGAGGCCAGTTCAGACTCTGACGATGAGGACAAGCTACACATTGTGGAGGAGGACAGCCTGCAGGAGCCTGAGGTCGCCGACGCTGATGGGACCACGCCGCAGGACAGCCACGACGCCGCCACGACAGTATTACCCCACAACGGCTCCTGGAATGGAGGTGAGATGCCACCACAGAAACACGATCATATCAGTGTCAGTGTGTAGGTTTTCATTCCAGCCAGGATCTGTGCAAAAGTAAATGTAGGTCAGCCATTCCCCGACTTCAGACTGGTCCTTTAAGACTGATCTTCTTATTATCTGTTCTTCCTGCGAGTCTTTGCTGAGCATGTTTGCTCTTTCTCAGCAGTGCCCTCTTTCAGGTCCACACATTCCTAAATGGGAGCTTCCCAGTGCACCCACACAAGCTGTCTCCTCACAGCTCTGCTTCAGACAGGGAGATAAGTTAAACTTTTACCCAGCTGTACCTTGCACCTAATAGTTGAGGGAAGTTAGAGTGTGATTCACTTTAATTGCACAGATTTTTTCCTGCTTTTGGGCCATTCAGGCCAATAATCAGTGATAGCCAATAATTTGTACTTAAATGTCCACATTCAGCATTATTCATCTCTGTCATGGCTGTAAGTAAATCTTACAAGGTACATTAATATTGGAATGAGTTAGCCGTGTGTGTGTGTGTGTGTGTGTGTGTGTGTGTGTGTGTGTGTGTGTGTGTGTGTGTGTGTGTTTGTGTGTGTACATCTTTATATGGTCATGTGTTGGCTCCTCTGTTTCAGGAGATACATTAGAACAGGTGGTGAGACTAATTATCCATGCAACTGTTATCAAGTGCAACCAGACCAGGACAGAAGCAGACTTATGTTCACTGTGTTGGCTGAGCGTTATTGTGCAACAGTCCTACACAAACTAAAGCACATACACAGGACATTTTTTAAATAACGTGACAGTAAGATGCCCCGGGATAAAAACACATAGACTAAGCTTTCTGCTGCCAGTGTTGTTGTGTAGAAGAGCTGGAGTCAGCTGAACATGATCACAGCTCAGTTTGTCATGCTGAGGGGTTTGTCTGTGTAATCTCCAGCTCTCACATCCAACAGACCTGGATAAACCCCATATACTCCCTGAAAGACCACCACTCCGTTTAATAATGCAGTTCTCTGCCGCGGGTCAGTTCTTCATAGGCAGCTGCGCCGTGTTTGTGAAAATCCCTGTCAGTACCAGTCATATGACAGGCACCCCCATCACCTCAGCTCAGTCAGATACTCCAAGATTAATTTCACTTCATTTTTAATTTTTTTTTTTAAACAGTAAAGTAACAAAACACTTTACTGTGTCAACTTTCTGTGTGAAAGTTTAGTTCAACCTCTTTTCTCCTGTTTATTGTTTGGTGTGAGAGTGATACAAGAGGCAACCCTTTACATTTACAGCTCTGCTACACAGCATCCAATACAAAGACAAGAGATGTTCAGATGATATTACTGAGTCAAAGCTCAGATGAAAGTGATGACTAGTGAAGTGAAAAATCAGAGTGAAACTTCAATCCAGTCAGAGGTTTAAAGCAACAAAGTCAAGCTCATAGAAAGGAAAAGAAAAGGGTGACAGTTTTTGCCCGTCAATCCAAAACTATGGTCCTAGATCGCACTGTTTAATTGCAGAATTCAGACAGAAACATTATTAATTGCTGTTATGACCCATACTTACAAACACAACCTATTGGAATACACCATGAAATTATGCAGAATGTACTGGCTGACGAAGGTTCGGTGCAGACATGCTTTTTTTTCTAGTTCACATCTTTGCCCCAGGACTCATCAGGTATTCGTCATCACACAATCTGACATGCTCCAAAACTGAGATTGACACAGATTGCAAGATTTTCTTCGATGGCTCACAGCCTGATCTGCAATGTCACTGTTTTCACACAGCTTGTAGGGGTTGTATTCTTTACTGTTGGTAATTCGGTGCTCAGTGTGTAAATATAAGGTTGTGTGTCTGTGTGTATCTACCTGCTCTCTTCTTTGATCAGATTAGTTCCACCCTCCTCTCAGCCTCAGTGAACGCCCACTTGCCTGCAGAGCAAGATGTTCTGCTGCCCTCTCTCCTCTGTGTACATAACCACATCCTAAAGGCTAATCAAACTACAACACGCACACGCACATTATCTACATCTGAACTGAGATCTCCCCCTCTCCATCTCTCTCTGATAAAACACAGTGATGAGCTTCAGCATCATTTCAAGTCATCTCTGTCCTCAGACTGCTTAAACTCTCAGGTCCACATGTTCACCTCTATATTTATTGACATTATAAAGTAATTTGTGCATTAATTTAAATATTAATGGAGGGAAAAACAAACTCGTACCTTCTTCTAAAATGTGTTCTATCATGAAAATGCATTGCAATATATCTCTATTTCTATTGTTGTATTTCTTGTTATTTATTACCAGATGAATATATTTGGATGTGTGATAAACACTAAGTTTATAAACAGAGCATTAGAGAGGGGTCAGGAAATAAGTACTACGTTCCTCCTGCTCCTTTTTGGTCATGTGTTATTTGTTGGTTTATTTACAGAGAATTTGTTACTTAAATTAAAATCGATAGGTTATTATTGTTTGCTTTTTTTTTCATGTTTCTCCCCCCTTGAGAAGCTGTTAGAAGAGATTATTTGGCATATGTTGTTTAAAAAATTACTTAAATGAATAATCAGTTATCAAAGTTGTTGCCAAGTCTTTTCAGTCAGTTATTTATTTGATCTCTACATCTGAGAAATCTTTTCCACGTCTGTGCTCTGTGAAGACAGGTGTGTTGACAGAGATATTAGTGAAATAATGTTGTAATGAGCTCCCTCATTAGCACTGCTGGGATTGTGTGTGACTGTGTGGAGCTGAGTCAGCTGAACTGCATCATGCCTGTGAGTGCAGACAGGTTTTATTTGCACTGCATGTCCACTCGTAGATTAATACATAGCAGGTTTGATCATGCAGGAAGCGTCACGTCTGTTTTATTAAGCACAGTTGGACCTCATGTTGATTATCAATCAGTGTCCTGCTATCCATCCTCCTCTTCTTCCCATTTATAGTGTCAGAAGTTTCAGCAGCCACAGGAAGTGCAGACAGAAACAGATGTTTTGGAGGCTTCGTGTCATTTTGCTTTTTAAATTGGTTTTCACTTCCAGACAGCCTGCAAAAAAAAAGCTCTCTGTAAAACTCTTACGTTTAAACCTCCACATACCCCCCGGTAAGCAAGTTTGCAGGATTAGCTCCTTGCACATCCGAGGACACTTTGAAAAACATGACACACCTTAGCATACAAACCAAACTGCAAAAGAGCCACAAGATTTAATAAGCAGCAGCAGAACCAAGTCTGCATTCAACAGCAGAGGTTGATTGGCTTGTGTTTACACCGCTTCTCAATGCCCTTTTAATCCTCGATTCCCCGCAAACAGCTCAGCCCACGCAAGCATCTGCCTTCATCTCAACAGCAGTTAGTTACAGCCAAGCAGGAAATACTAAAACCATGGAGACGGCGAGAATGTGACACTCAGAGATATTGCTCTCAAGGCTTGTTTCATTGTTGCTGAATAAAGCCTTACATGGTGTGAGCAGTGCTCATGAGTGCTGCTCGCTCTCTTTCACTTTGTTTTCCTCCCTCTCTCAGCTCGATCTTTTCTCTGCTGTTTCTCTACACTGATCCCTTTTCATCTCTCTATTCTTCTACCTCACTTTCTTCTCGCCTTTTATTTTGCATTTGTTTCCCTCTCTTTTCCTCTGTTCTCCTCCTGCCAAATTTCCAAAGTCAGATATTTTGTGAAAGCCTCTCCTCAGTGTTTGAAGTGATAGGTGGTGCTCTGCTCGCTTTGGATATTATTAGCTGTTAATTATCCACAAAAGCTTTGCTGAGCTTGTTGTTCAGTAAACCTCAATATTAGCATTGCTTATTTGACTTTTTTCGGACAAACTAACTTCTTTAACTTTTGGAGGCCTCATCCTGCCAATGCTGTGGCAGGTCATACAGTGTGTACAGCCGCAGCTATTAGAGCATGTCAGGATAACCTGTATTAGAAAATGCAGAAGATACCATATGTCTGATGTGATTTATCTTTCCAGCTGTAAAATGTCCAGCTCAGTACATATCCCAAAATATCAAAGTTTTTAGACAGTTGAATTTATCTGTATCAGAAGTGTTTGTTTACGGTTATGTGTTTATGTTAAAAAAAATTTTAAAAAAGAATGTTGGCTGAAATATTTCATATTTATTGTTTAGGTCACTAATACCCAGTATTAGGAAGGATCTAATTGGTTTTCTGTATGTGTTTTGCTTTTTTATAGCACTTTGCAGACTCTTCAGATGGTGACTATACAAATGATTGAATTATAATTATTGTTACTATTAGGTTCCTGTTTGTTTATGGACCTCTGCTCTAATTAGCAAGTTTATCCGTCATCCATCTGCTCGTTGGACACTGACCAGTTATAAATTACTTTGCCATTACTACCAGAGCTGGCGCATGGGATTTGATAAGGAAGCAGTTCTTTGTTGATGCCGTGTGCACCTTTTACTGATTATTGACATTGTTAGTTAGTTGTGAGTCTGTAGTAAAATATGCAGTGTTTAGCAGAGAAAAATTGTTTATTTATAATCTGAATGCAGTTTTTGACCCTTGACCTTTACTATCAGGCACTTTTCATGGTAATAATGTCAGACAATAAACTTGTGTGTGCACTTTTCCAATACATAAGAGCAGTTAAATACATAAAGTGTCAATATAATTACTATCAGCAGTAGTAGCCATATATACAGATCAACATATTTCTGGAAAGATACTGAATTTTCAAGAGGTGTTGTCGGGATGAGGGAACTGTGTGCATATAATCAGTTTTTTGCGGCATTTCAGGAACTGAGTCTCGGCACAGGTATGTAACATAACATATTTGACTTGAGTCATGTGTCGTGACATTATCTGTTTTTCACCTGCACCTGCAGCAGAAACCAGCCTGTTCACTCCTTTAGAAAAACATTAACAAACCAGGAAGGAGAAACGTTTCTCATGTGTGTGGATGAACTCTGACTGTGTGATGGTGGGGGGGCTAGTCGTGGAAAAGTCATGAAATGTTGCAGCGCTGTGGAGCCACTGTGGGAACCCTTTAAAGACTCGACGTGATATTTTTGGAATTGTCTAACTTTCACTCCTTTCTTTCCTCCCCGTCTGAGGCGAGAGGAGAGAGCAGGGAGAGCAGCTGGTGTTGAATTAGTCCTCTGGTGAGAGAGATTAAAGTCTGCTACTCCCCCTGCAGTCTGGGCCGCACTGCAGCTCCAATCCATCCTGCCTTATAAATTCACCACGGACTCACAGTGACAGGTTCTGGCAAGGTATAGGAGTGCAGTGTGTGCAGTGTGTGTGTGTGTGTGTACACTTGTGAATAACTCTGCCAAGTGTATTTGTCTGCGTAAACGTATCCCGTTAAGTGTGTGTGTGTGTGTGTGTGTGTGTGTGTGTGTGTGTGTGTGTGTGTGTGTGTGTGTGTGTGTGTGTGTGTATGTGTATGTGTGTGTCACATGATTTCCTGTTTTCATTCCAGTCTGATATCCCACATGTGTGTGTTGCTGGGTCCTGGTCGTCATTACTGTGCTGCTTTTTTGTGAGGCATTAAGTGTAATTGTAGAGTTTGGTGGGAAAATATGCAGAGAGGTGTATCAGAGGAGGGGGAGGAGGGTCAGGAGAAGGAGTGATGGAGGAAAATAAAGCAAGCGACTGAAGGAGGGAGGGGGAGGGGGCGGAAACAAAGAGGCATGAGATGAAGGTGCAGAGGCAGATGGAGGTAACAAGAGGTGTGTGTGTGTGGTGAGGAGTGAAAGTGATGTAGACGAACAGGGATGGTGACAGAGAAAGTGTGAAATACTGATGGAGGGAGGAGGAGACAAGTAAAAGAATGGAGGATGAGTTTGAGAGATTGAGGGAAGAGAGAAAGTGATTCACACTGAGCTGGGCTAATTTTGAAAACACTTGTGAAAACGATAGTTTTCAGTTTGTTTTTGTAAAGATCACAGTGCTACACCTAAACAACAGGAACACAGCTACATTTCTTTAGCTTCTTCTTCTCTTTCTTTCTGGTTACTCTGTTGAATTTCAGCTGGTTAAAAACTCCTGTCTGTCCCCTCCTTCTCTCCATTATCGCTGACTGTGTACTGTGTTTTAAAACTGACATTTTAGTTGTTTTTATTTCAGGTTTTATCAGCATTTTTGTGGAGGCACTCCACCCAGCCTGAAACAAAGAACACTTAGGAAACACTTCTGAAATGTAATATTAGGTTTATTAAGCTTTAGGAAAATGAGCAGTAGCACTACATCAGGGGATTTTTTTTTTTTTACACTCAGAAACCAAATCCTGCAAGGTTTTGATGGTCCAGGTGGGCGGGGTTTGGGGCATGGCTAAGACAGTGAGTGCTTCGTTGTGACATCACAAAGTTACAGAAGTTCTGACGGCTGGTTTTAAGGCTCAGTTTCTGAATACAGGCTATGTGCATTTCTCTGTGGACTGAGCACTCTGATTGTAAAGCAGGTCTAGGTTCTATATGTGTGAAAGTATCAAAGAACACAAGGACATCTATCTTTATACGATAAGGCACCTATAAACTGCCATATAGTAACTACATTAATAACAATGAGATGCTTCAGGATCGACGTGCTTCAGCGCAGCAGGTGATTGATCACATCATACGTTTCACGGAGCAGTAATAAATCAGCAGCAATGGCATGAAGAAGGAAAACCTCTGCATTTCCGTATTTTTCAGTTTTTGTCATCAGGTGAACGAGCAGACAACAATGATTTGATTTGCATGACAATTAAGCTACCTGTTGTGTAGCGGTTCTTGCGCTGTTGAACTGTGATGTCATTCAAATCACTGTGTTATGATCGGAGCGTCTGACAGATCCATAAAAAAAATACAGCCCGACGGCAGCACCTGTATGGCGAAGTCAGCTGCACTGGCCATTTAAAGTGAGAGATCACAGAGAGGGTTAGAGGTGACAGAATGTTGTGTTCTTAACTTTACTGCCATCAAGCACCCGACTAGCCTGACGTCGTCATTTAACAAAAGCTCAGATTTCCTCATCCCCTTCGAAAAGCACGAGGCCGGGGTTTCAGATTCAGCCACAGATTTTCCCTACTTCATGTTGTTTTTGTGAAGCTCAGTTTTTAGGTGTAAAAACACCAGCAGACCAAAAAAGAGAGAAAAAAGAAGGAAAGGGAGTGAGACAGAATTAGGTATAGACGAAGAGAGTACGGGTAGAGAAAGGTGGAAAAAGTGTAAGAAGAAAAAGAGGGATGAGTAAAGAGGTGGAGAAATAAGTATGAAAGCTGGATGAGTGTGTCTCTGAGGGGAAAGAGATATTTGGAAAGCTTTTGGATGAGATCATGGGAAGCTGAGATCTGTGCGTTTAAAATGAGGCTTAACAGGGCTCGGCCTGTGCCCGCCTCTTCTTCATGAAGACACACACACACACACACACAGACTCCTCCCTTCTTTTTATGACTGGTTCTGTGATTACTGATCCTGCAGACTAACACACAAACACACACACACTCAGCCACAGCTGCACCTGTCCCTGACATGGCTCAGCAGGAAGAGGCGTGGCCTTTGGCACCGGTCCCTGCCAGCATTTAAAATGCTTGATCTCCATGGAAACACTGGTCACAGTTTTACCTCAGTGCTTGTTCTTATCAGTGTTTCTGCACTGAAAGTGAAGTAACTTCTTTGCGCTAGTTTCTTCACCGATGTTGTTACAGTGACACACCAGATCTGAACAAGGAGAGAGAGAGAGAGAGAGAGAGAGAGAGACAGAGAGAGAGAGAGAGAGAGAGAGAGAGAGAGAGAGAGAGAGAGAGAGAGAGAAAGCATAAAAATAGGATAAGAAGCAAAACAAAAAGCTGTGAGACATTATAAACCATGTAACAGCCTCAGCACTCACCTGACGCAGGTTATCTCACATTGGTCTTAAGACTTCACATTCTTAACTTACGGTCTGTTGCATTATGGGAAATGTAAGATCCATTTTTTTGGAGCTTGATCCGTATTAGAGAAAAGACATCTCAGCCTCTGCTGCTTCAATTTAGACCATTCTCTTGCAAGTGCCCCAACTTTATTGAAGTACCGAATCACTAGAGGACCTTTTTTATACAGACATTGACCTTTTATAGACTTTCTCCACTTTGTGCATCTAAATATTTATAACAGAGTTGAGCTTCCTATTACATTGTAATCCTAAAGTGATCTTGGACAGATATAAAATAAAAGGCAGCTTGGGACTACATCATAGTCTTGACTTACACGACACAAACTTGCAGCTAATTTTCAACACATGGGCTGTGATAGGTTGACATTTTATATATTGTATATCAGTGGCTTTGACCATTTTTTCCAGTGTTTATTTGTAACAGTGATTTAATGTGTGTCATTGTAAATCTTCATATGGTCAAACAAACACGTGGTTGTGTAAAATGTAAATGCACCAGAGATCAGAAGCCATTGTAATTTCATGACAGATGATAACTGCAACTTCTAGTGTGGTCATACTTGTTTATATCTTCTATTCAAAATGCATAAAGTGTAAAATATCGAGCCTGTCCTGGGTAAATTTGTGTCCTGTCTGTATTGCTACACGCCTCATACCTGAGGTTAATTTGAGCAGAGGAGTGTGTTTGGTTTTAATGAGAGGAAGTGTTGGATAGAGGACAGACTGTGTCAGTGTTGTAGCGTTACATCCCTGGGCCACTTTCCTGTGAAGAGCCACATTCAAATCAAATCAAGCCCACTGGATTGATTATTGTCGGTAAAGCTCAGTTTGGTTACAGGGAAACACTGCCTGTCGCTTTCACAGCAAACCAGCTGTTCCAACTGAACTCAGACATCATCAACAGACTTTCACAGGACCGTTCAGCTGCTGCCGCTGTTGTATCAGATAAGCGTGATGTAACTGTATAGAAAGGTTATAAACTAAGGATGGTTTTATTCCTGAAGTGCTTCTTGGGAAAAACACATCACAGTATCAGCTGAGCTCAGTGCTGGTTCATATCTTAAGTAGTCAGGACTGGCCTCCAGCACCACATGGCAATTTTGGTGTTTTTCTTTAAACTTCAGCCTGCTGAGTAATTCTGCAATTGAAAACATCAGTGGAACAAGCTCTTAACTCAAGTGGAATATTTTGTTGTTTGATTTTGTTGTGTGTTTTATACAAATGAGCACTTGAGGAGTCATAGAAGCTGAATCACTGATGTGCTTTTACTTCTTGTTCCTTTCATCTTTCTCATCGGATTTTCCTCTGTTTACTCCACTGTTCCTCTTGATTTTTGTCTTCAGGAAACAGGATGATATTAAACTGAACTGAACTTTCAGAACGTCACCCCGAGGGGTAGGGGAAGATTTTCAGATTCTGAGGAGCTGTCAGCTATGAAACCTTTAAGGAAATTTGTCAGAGCCATTTGTTTTATGCTAGAAACCTCCAAACTTGTTTCTCTCAATTTTTTGGAAAATTTGACTAAATAATTTATAAACTGGTGATAGATGGGTGGTTCAAGAGGAGCATGCTCATCACAAGGGTTCATTAACAAGCCCTGTGCTGCTCTCTAGTGGTGATGCTGTAGAACAGATTAATTTCAATTTTCTGTGTGTGTCAAAATCTGATGGTGGAGGTTTGATACATCCAAAGAAAGTAATACCAAATGATCGACAGTATCAGAAGAATAAACCTGTGCTGTCTCTTAAGGGACAGATTAAACTCGTCAATCTGCTGCTCCATATACCTCCACTCTCCAGCTGCTAAAACAATCCTAAACCTTGGACATGTGTGTGTGTTTTTAGTGAAGGAGGAGTGTGTGTCAGATGAGGAAGATGAGGCCGTGAAGGATGCTCTAGTGGAGGAGATTCTCCAGCAGGGAGACACAGCCATCATCTATCCTGAAGCCCCAGAGGACGAGCAGAGTCCAGTGGAGACAGGAGGCGCTGATGAGAACGGTAACACCGACACACAATCACACAACCGCTGCTTAAAGCTAGCTGCTGGTAATGGCATCAGGAATGTATTTTTAACTGAATGCCCACTCCTTTTAATTTGAAAACATAACTGTCATATCAGGTTTGATTCAGATTGTGGTTGTACATTTGCTTTGTTGTACAAATTGCATTACTTATCCACATTATATGACAAGTAAAAACCAGAGGAGAAGGTTTGGATTGAGCTTTTTGTCTAGAGAAAACTGGACTCACTGAAATCACTGTTAGCATGTTAGCGAGTATTGGAAACAATAAAAGAGACTGAACATGCTCACTTGGAACTATATACCAAACATTCTGAAGTATAAGGAAAAGACATTTGGTCCATCTGTAAAAAGCAAAATAATTAAAGCAGCTGTGATCGTATAGGATTCCCAAAAAGGTTTAAGTGCTAACAATTGATGCAAAGACTCAGGGGCCTTACACACAGTGCACAGAGGCTGTATGCACGTGAAGGTTGGAGGACTTAAACCATCACCCTGCATGTACCTGTTCCAGGCACACCGGATTCCTTCTCCCAGTTGCACACTTGCCCCTACTGCTCCCGGGGCTACAAACGCAACGCCTCGCTGAAGGAGCACATCAAGTATCGCCACGAGACCAGCGAGGACAACTACAGCTGCTCACACTGCAGCTATACTTTCACCTACCGCTCGCAGCTTGAGAGGCACATGAGCCACCACAGGGGCACCAGGGAGCAGGTAACATCAGAGCGTGAAGGTGTCAACTCTGTTAAAGTGCAGGGCACGGGTTTGTGGTCAATGGCACAATGAAACCACAGAGCGGGTTGGTTCTTAAAAAGTCTAAAGTAATCAAAGTATTACGTAGATTTGAGGCCCAAATGTCTCAGTAACTTATTAGAAGGCTTGTATTCTGCATGTGCATTATGTACATGTTTTATTTATCTTAAATATCGTGTTTCTGCAGAGTGAATTTTCCTCATAATAACTTTAATCAATCTGAATTATCCTGATTACCCCCCCCCCCCCCCCCCCCAGCTTATGCTAACAATAGAAAAATAGAAGTTTCCCATTTATTTCCATCATAGCAACTCATCTGGACACATCTGCATCTGTTGCTGTAGTTACTCATCATCAGTTACTCTCTTATCGCTGTTTCTCTTTTCCTGTCTCAGGTTCACGTTTCCCAGTCGACAGGAGGATCAGGAGGAACAGGTGGAACGCGCAAGTTCAAGTGCACGGAGTGTTCCAAGGCCTTCAAATACAAGCACCACCTGAAGGAGCACCTGCGCATTCACAGCGGTGAGCTGTTGTCACAGCAACTGACACGCGCGCACGCACACGCACACACACACACACACAATCCCCAGCCTGGCACAATCTAAGCCGCTGTTCAAATCTCCAGGCCGCTCACGTCTTGTTTTGGTGACAGTCATTTATGAGCTGGAATCGCTGTATTTGTGGTTGATCAGAGTTTGTATCAAATCTACTCACTCAGCTCCAGTTTGTGGTAGCTCTGTAAGTTTGGATATGGATATTAAACAGGGCTGTGTTACATTAGGTACATTTGGCCTTTTGTTTCATTTGTGTAATTCAGAAATTGTGCATGCAAACACAAATGTTAACAATAAAAAACAGGAAATAAATCTAAAAAGGTTTAAAAATGCAACAATGCCTACATTTTGGTTCTGACCCCAGAATACTACATTAGTTATAAAACATTGAACTGATGAACAATGATCTGATGAAAGATTAATTAACCAAGATTCACATTCGACCACACTCGTCATTGCCAGCTGTTCCAACTTCACTGTCATACTTGTTGCTTTTTCAGTATTCGGTGCTACAAACACATTTTGGTCAGTCCCAAACACGTGTTTAGATTTGATACTCAGTTCAACCAAAGACTTAACCTAACAATGACAAAACAGTGGCATCTCAAAAACTATGAAACAATCTTCATTTTACATTTAAGACAAAAAAAACAACATACTTTAAAATGGACTTGAGCTTCTCTTTTAAAAAGGTTGTGTAATTTCTCTGTGCACTCTTTTAGGTGAGAAACCATACGAATGCTCAAACTGCAAGAAGCGATTCTCCCACTCAGGCTCCTACAGCTCCCACATCAGTAGTAAGAAGTGTGTGGGTGCAGCACCCCCCAACGGCGTCGCTCGGACGCCAATCAAGTCCCCCCCTCCCACCACCCAGACTGCACCTGTTGTAATTGCCCCGGCCCGCATGATTCTTAAAGAGAAGACTGAAAGTAAACCCCTCCAGGAGCAGCTCCCCGTCACCCAGATCAAATCTGAACCTGTGGAATATGAGTGCAAGCCTGTGATGGCGGCACCAGCAACTTCAGCTGGTACCAATGGAGTGGTGAACGGAGGGACTGCTCAGCCAGCTGTGGCTCCAGCTGCAACCCTGCCTCAGGGTGTGGCTATGGTCGTGCCCACAATGGGCCTGATGTCGCCCATCAGCATCAATCTGAATGACTTGCAGAACGTGCTTAAGGTTGCAATGGACGGAAATGTGCTCAGGCAGGTGCTGGGCACAGCCAACGGGGTGGTGACGCAGGGGAAGCAGGGAATTGTAGTCCAGCAGCCACAGCAGCAGATCATCAGCCTGCCGGCCTTCGTGGACCACGACGGCACCACGAAGATCATCATCAACTACAGCATCAGCCCTGCTGCCGCCACCACTGCCACTACCCAGCCTACATCGCTTGTTGTCAAAAACAACCTTCCTGCCCCTCCCGCTGTGACCAGCACTGCTGCAGCCCCTACCCCCAGTAAAACAGATAAAGCCCCAAACCCAGAGGTGGCTGACCTCAGTATCGTCAAGGCAGAGCCAGAATCAGTGCCCGTCACTGACGTGGAGACGGAGGCAGCGGCAGCCACGCAGACAGCAAAGGAAACTGTTAAAACTTCAGACACAGCTCAGATGCCAAAAGCCAACACCACCAGTACATGTTTACTATGTGAAGACTGTCCCGACAACCTTGAGGCGTTGCACCTCCTCCAGCATCGCAAAGCAGCCAACGGGGAGGCGGTTGACTCTGCCGCCCTGGACCCCTCATTCGCTGCTTTGCTAAGCGAGGCAGGAGTGACACTGGAGGAGCCGCCTGTGGACGACCTCCTCTCACTCCTCAAGACCTACTTCGCCTCAAATGCCAACCCCAGCGAAGAAGAGCTGTCAAAGATCTCAGAGTCTGTTAGTATTCCAATGGAAGTGGTCAGAAAGTGGTTTGCCAAGATGAACTCTGGGAAAAATTTGGGCAAAAACCGCAGTGACACGACATCCAAAAAGACTGAAACTAGTAATTCCAGCTCAGAGGACACATTGAATCAGAATGGAGAGGAAGAAGAAGACGACACCCAGGAAACATTCAACAGAGACTCTTCAGAATCTGGAAGCGCGTCTCCGTCAGACTCCACATCACTAGGCGTCAACACCGGGGACCTTGTCATTGTTAAAAGCGAGCCAGAGGACCCCGAGGCCCCAGACTCCCAGGCAGAGCCCCTGGACCTGTCCCTCCCTAAACATATCGCAGCAGCATCGAAAACCAAAACAACCACGCCTCCCGCCAAGCAGCAGGAGCAGCCTCTGAACCTGACCTGCCTGAGAAAGGAGCAGCTCGATGGTCAAACCATATACGTCACCACGCCTCAAACCGGAAGACCTGTCAACATCGTCACTGCCGCACAGCTGCCCACGTTAGTGGCCATTGCCGGTCAGGGCACGGTGGGCTGTCTCAGAGCCATCAACACCACGACGAAGAGAACCATCCTCATCCCCCAGCTCACCTACACCTACGCCACCACGGCCGGTAATGCCTCCGGAGCGAAGACTGTCGTACTCAACGGCCATAAGGTTTGTAATGTTAAAAACTGTTATAACTTCTAAACAATAGTAGGTTGGTGTGTTTGCATTATCAGTTAATCTGTCAGTCATATTTCTTATCAATTAATAAAAATCAGAATCAAAATTCAGAAATTGTGGGAAATACCCAGAGCTGATGTTTTCTGAGCTCAGGATCTGTATTTCTCAGTTATTCAACTGAAATGACACGAGGTGAAAACTTCCATTTTAGTTTCTATTTTTGTCAAAAATGATGTGACCATACACACAAGATACCCATCTATTGCAGAAGAGTGTTTCTAGGCAGAACAGGCCCCTACGATAATACAATAAATGACTTGTGCATTTTAGATGTTTATCTCAAGCTTTAAACAGAGCATTGTACAACTAATGCAAGAATGAAATATAGATTCAGATACAGATTCCATGTACGACTAGAGACGCATCAACTCTGAATCCACCCAAAATAATATAGAGCTGCAACAAATAGTTGATTAATCGATGAGTTGATTGAAAGAAAATTAATCTGCAACAATTTCAATAAAATCGATGAATTGTTTTTGTTTTTCAAGCAAGTTCATGAATGTGAAGACTTGCTGCTTCTGTGTCATATATGATAGTAAATGAAATGTCTTTGGATGGTTGGTCAGACAGTAATAAAAACATAATGAAGTGATTTTTGGCAGATTGATAATGAAAGTAATCATCTAGGCCTTGAATAGTATTTTAGGAACAAACTCAAGTTCATGCTTTGCTGCAGTGACTTTCTCTAGACTGATGCAGGTGAGACTGACAGAGACCATCTGCAACACAACATTACACCAGCAGATGAGAGCTGAACTTGGTCCCAGAGATCTGAGAGTCATTCAGACAAACTTTAATTGCTATAAAACCTCCTGAGGGTCTCATCGTGAAAAAATGTTTCTCTGCCTGATTGTGGTCTTTCAGATAACCGATCAGAATACTGCACCACGGCAAACCTCTGCCGTCTCTGTGTGGCTCTTAATGTTCCACATGAAACCCAAAGTAAACACTTTAAATTACACTCATTGTCATTCAGTCATATAACCAGGTTTTTATTGGTATGAGCTGAAAGTATCAGTTATAGGTACAGCTCAATCAAAAGAGGAAATTGTCACATTAACATTCACAGTGCAGACCTTTCACACAAACTGGGGATTCAAATTCACTTCCAGGTTATTGCCTCCACTCGACACATGGCATTAAATGATGTATTCATGTGTAATTTTTCGGTTTGCGAGCAGGAGAAACGTTCGGACAGCAGCTCAGACGCCGTGTCCACAGTGGAGGAGCAGAACGACTCAGATCCAGCCGGGCTGATGAAGAAGCGGCGGCTGGAAAACGGCGTCTACCCCTGTGATCTTTGCTCCAAGGTCTTCCAGAAGGGCAGCTCCCTGCTCAGGCACAAATACGAACACACAGGTGTGCCTCCGAACGAGAAGCTCACTAACATTATCGCTAATGCACTAATCTTTGTTTCATTGCTAATTCTCACTCAAAAGGTGCTTTTAAAGATAATTTAAATAAGTCTGGTTTTATTCAGCAGGGGTTCTGTTTTCCTTTTCCCACTGAGTTGCCCAAAGGTAGTCCCAGTGGTCAAGGCTGTGATTTTACATGTGACATCATCTCTCATTAAATGTCTTATATTTAGTGTGTGTGATTACAACTTTTATGGGACACCTGGCTTGTAAATGTTCCAGCCCAGGAACTAGTGACATCACTATTAACAGGCGTGAGACTCCGGAGATGAATTAGCACAATGTTTTCCCTGAAGCTGCAGCTAGCGTCATATTGGAATGTGGTTTAATTGATGCACAGTAGTGCACAGGTGTGTGTCCGTTCAGCCATGACATCATCCACACCATCACACACACCTATGTTTATTGGAATGGCTTGATGATTTTTTTTTTTTTTTTTTTTTTTTTTTTATAAAAAGGATATTGCTGTTGTTCTCATGTCTTATCTCAAATCATTTCACAAATCCCTGATCCCATGAAAAAAAAAAATCCCTACCTGGTATGTGACACTCAGCCCCAAGCGCTTTTTCAGTCAATCCATTCAATACATAGTTTCAGAGGCCAAGTAACTTTTAATAGTTAAGTCATTTCAATTCATTTTTAATTGTTTTTAGGAGGAACAACAATTGAGCTCCATGACAAAGAGGAATAAGTAGTAATAATTAGTTTGAATTCATTATTGATTTTGGTCTTTTCATGAGATTTTTTGACAATAAGAAAAAAGCCTCGCCCCTTTGAAGTAATATTTGCACTACTCTTAAATGTTGTTAATGTGACTTCAAAGGTCCCATACTTTATACTTTTCCAGTGTTTTATTTGAAGTGTGGATCCGTTACAAGATATATTTGTAGTTCCAATCACCAAAAACCATCTTTGTTTTACATCTCCTCTCTCAGGCTTCTCTCTGGAGCTCTAGAAACAACAGGTTGGTGAGCCAATCAGAAGAGAGGAGGCTCTGATCCTCTCTAATTGGCTGACTGTTTTCTTACTAATCAAATAAACATATAGCAAATTTCAGGTGATCACTCAGAGAAACCAAATCCTGCAATCCACTTGGAAGTACTGGCACTGATGTACACTAATATTATGAAATTTACGTATACTCTTTCTACCCAGCAGTGAGTGTCGCAGGGAAAAGCTCTGAAAGCTCCTCTGACTCTGTCTTGTTTCATCCGCAGGAAAACGGCCTCATGAGTGCAACGTCTGCAAGAAGGCCTTCAAACACAAACATCACCTGATCGAACACTCGAGGCTGCACTCCGGTGAGAAACCTTACCAGTGTGACAAGTGCGGGAAGCGTTTCTCTCACTCCGGCTCGTACTCCCAGCACATGAACCACCGCTACTCCTACTGCAAGAAGGACGGGCCAAACTCAGGCTCCGGGTCAGGGCCGCGCAGGGTTCAGTTGGAGCTCGGCGCTGGGCCGCAATCGGACAGCCGCACCACAACCCCGCCCTCCCAACTGGACTCAGACGAGAGGGAGAGCGAGGAAGAGGACGACGAAGACGACGAGGCCATGTGTATGGACGACATTCGGGTCGTGCAGGTGGACGACGGCGAGTGCGAGATCTACGAGGGTAACTTTGATGACGATGAGGAGGACGGAGAGGAGATGGTGGAGGAAGAGGTAACAGAAGAGGCAGTGAGAGAAAAGGTGGAGAAGGAGTTTGCGTGTGATGTGGTGGAGATCGAGCTGGGAGACGATCACATGGGGGACGAAGTGATGGAGGAGAGAACCGAAGACAAGCGGGAAGCAGCAGGTGTGGAGACAGAGGAAATGGCAGCAGGTGTTGAGACGGAGGAAATGGCAGCAGGTGTGGAGACGGAGGAAATGGCAGCAGTCGTGGAGACGGAGGAAATGGCAGACTCTGAAGCAAATACGGACAAAAGCATTAGGGAGGAGTCAGACAGCAGCGAACCCACAGAGGAAGTGGAGACAAATGCCAAGTAAAAGAAGGAGAATCCCTTCGGGACAGTTCGAATGTGAAGGTCGTCAAAGTCGAGTTTGAGACAAAACCGCATCTCGCCATCAGAAGAAAGTCACGGCAGTTGCCTGATTTTAACGGTCCACTACTGTGTACAAAAACCCAGGTGTGCCTGAACTTGAAAAAAGAAAAAAACAAAACAAAACAGTGACTTTTTTTTCTTGTGAAAATTAAATATCAGTGTTAAAATTGTTTATAGAAGTACAGATTTTAAAGCAAAACTCACCCATCAACTTGTTAGACTTGTTACTGAGACATCCCAGGTTGTTTTTGTTCTGTGTTTATTTGGTCAATGTTACTAATCTTGTTCTTGTTTGAAACATTTTAACCTGTAAAGATGAGAAAGATTTCTATACCTTTTTATTGCCAATGAAGTTTCCTAAATCAGTATTTTATTGAGTTCTACGAACAAAAACCTCTGCACTACAGTATTCCTGGTTTACCTATGGAAACATGCCTCATGCATTGTATGCCCTTCAGTGTTATATATGTACACTAGCTAGCGAGATGTTGTTCGTGTTAGTGTTAGTCTTTGCTAGCTAGCATTACTTTCAGTTTGACTGTTAGCCTTAAGGAAAACAAAGTATTCTTGGGGAGGGTTGTGGGTGGGATGGGGAGTCCGGGATGAGAATGTGGCTTCTGTACGCCATAACCAAATTTGTCCTATCAGGGAAGGTAGAGTCACAACCTCAAAGCCAGCATCAGGCACCTGAGTTTTGCAACCCTGCGCAGCCCAAACAGGTGGAGTCTCCAGGTGAAGATTCAAAAGCAGACTCCACCCGCCCGGCTTCAGCTGCAGTTCCAAAACACACGCGCCATTTCTTACCAAGCTTCTCCTTATTTTGGCTTTAGTTCTCAGTCAGTGTTTCAGTGTTATTAGCTTATCTATGAAGTCATACTGTACGTGAAGGAACGGGGCCGTTTCCTGCTCCACCCCAATGCCTCCAGCCTTATGCAAGACCTGTGTGCTGTTAAAAGTGCCATTGAACAGTGTTATAATTTCTTCTTCACACATGTAGCCAGTATTATGTCCCTCTGTTACTTAAACAAGACCCATATTGACTAATGTTTGTTCACTTGCACAGAGCAGCAAATTTATGTCACAGTAATTGAAAGATATTTCCTGTGAAATTAATGCAAATATTTTTGAGGCCTTGAACAGTATTTGAACCACATGTGAAAGTTGGGAAACACAGTATTAGGGCTGCAACTAACAATTATTTTTATTATTAGTTAATCTGCCTATTAGTTTGAATAACTGATTAATAGTTTTGTTTACAAAATGTGAGAAAATAGTGAAAAATGCACATTGTGATTATCGTCTTTCTGTCCAACAGTCCACAACCCAAACATTCACTTTACCATGATGTAAATCAGAGAAAAGCATCAACTTGGACAAGCAGGAATCAGAGAATGGTCAGTTCTTGTGCAAAGATTACAAAGAAAACTAAATATGACGACTCGACTAATCAACTAATAGTCAATTAGAGGTACCAGTTTTCCAAATCCTCACAAGAATCTGAAAACAGAGAAATAACAAATGATTAAATCAGCTAATTGACTGTTTGATGTAGCTCTACATAGAAGATCTATGTAAAATGAAACTATGGACCTTAAGCCAATCAGTGCATGTTTTAATAGACCTGAATACTGTTATGGACTCATTTAGTTAGTTGAAAGTCCTCGTTGCCCAACAGTAACAAAAAAAGGTTTAGAAGTAGATAAATGTGCCGGACTGTGTTGGAAAGTAGAAATCAGAAATACAGTCCAGACTGAGCCGAGTGTGGATATTAAATGCCTTGTAACCTTGAGATAATCAGTTTCCCACTGATGGTAAAAGTATTTAGAAATGCAAGTTAATATGTGTGACTTTACGTCACAAGTCTAAGTTTTTAAAATGTTTACAGAAGTGCTTCAAAACAGAAAACTTTCTGTTAATGCATGTTTAAGTATTTGAAGGGCGTTTACTCAGCAGGTTGGCTCAGGAGGAAATGAAACAGACACAAAGCCAAGTTCAGTTTAAAGTGAAATGTAGACTGAAGGATTTGTCAGTAACAGGATCATTTTTGTCAGATGTGCACTTTTTTTTTTTTAGCAGAAAAAAAAGAAAGTTGTTGCAAGCTGTCCCGCACTTCAGGTAACAAACGTTAGTGAATGTGGTCTCTGTCCAAGTGTTTTCAGTTGGTTTTACCGAACAGTGTTTATAGGATTAGTCTGTTTTTAATTTTTTGTTTTTATGTGTGTCCTCTGTATGTTTTTTTTTGTTTTTTTTCAACAATGGCAGTATTAGAACCCTTTTCACAGATTAAAAAAAAAATGTACCTGTTTAGTTTTTAGAAGACTTTTTTATATTTATGTGTCTTATTTTTATATTTTCTTTTATGGTTATTTATTACACATTGTAGTGTACATTACTGTAGTTTGAATTGATACAATAATATATTTTAGTATGAAAAATAATCTCAAGACAAACAGAAAAAATCCCAAAATGTGGTTCTGGGAGCTGAAGTTTGTTTTAACAAAAAACACATAAAAAAGATAAAACATGTATTCTGTAAACATGACTTCTGTTTTAAGCTAAAAAAAAAAAAAAAGAAAAAAGACAGGAATGAATTGAGAAATAGAAACTGTTACATGTGCATCCGCTCTTTGCGTCGTTATGAAGCTACTGAATTCTAAACCTCTGTGATTTTAAAAGCATGAGTCGTCGCTGTTTTAATGAAGGATCTTGCTATGAAGACATTACTCCTCCCTTTTTATTTCGAAGCCAAATTTAGCTCGTCCCGACACCTTGTTTTCTGTTGTGTGCCAACTCGTTCCATTGTACTGTCGAAGGCTGCATATTGTTTGTCCTCTACACACCCTTTGTAAATCCACTGTCTTTTTGTATTGTTTTTATTTTAGTTTTGCTCCATTTTTATGACTCCCCATCACAATAAAATATAAGACAGCATCTCTGAGTCACTTGTTTTACTTCTCCACTTCCTGCTTTATCAGCCAACTAGCATATACAGTCTGAGGATAAACTGAGGAATTGTTTCAGGTTGTTTTGGTCCAGTTTCACACCAAGCTTATCAGTTCAGTTTCATGTCTACTGTGTAGTCTCAGAGGGTTTTACAATGTGGATCATTCAGCGCCGTCTTCCCTCAGACTCTCACACAACATATTCAAACCTCTGCACATCTTGTTCCCTTTATCATGTTGTAAATTTAATTATAAGTAGATAAAACTACAGTCAATCCACACTCACTTATTCATAATGACCAAGTGAAAACATTCAAATGAATTTGCAAATAAAGAAAAATAAATCAAGAACTGAAATCTCATTTGCAAAAGAATCCAGGCCATTTGCTGTGGCTCAAAATTGTAATCAGGTTCATCCCATTTGTTTTAATTGTCCTTGAGATGTGTCTAGAACTTGACTGGTGTCCACCTGTGGCAAATTAAATTGATTGGACATAGTTTAGAAAGGCTCACATCTGCATAGCATGTCAGGACAAAAACCAAGGCATCAAGTCCAAGGACCTGTCTTTGGAAAATAAAATGAAAAAAAATAAAACCCTGACCAGGGAAAGATCAGAGCTGGGGGAGTAAAACTGTTTCTAAAGCTTTGAGCGTTAACACAGAAAGAGTGGCCTTAAAAACTGAACTGGAAGAAGTTTGGAAACACCAGGTCTCTACATAGAGTTGGCTTTCCGGCCAAACTGGACAAATGAGGCCTGAATGATTTGCTTCTGCCGCTCACTTTCACCTTTTAATGTTAACCCAACGGAGGAAGTCAAAAGTGCAGTCCAATCAAATCAAATAATGAAGACTCATCACTAGGTGGTGCTAGAAGACCACGCAACAATCAATACCTAAAAGGACTAAAGCCTGCAGTGTCATGAGAGCAGAACTCAGCACTAATTATTCATAAATAATTGAGTCACAATTATTAATGTAAGCCAGTGTCCCCTGAGCTCTGAGGAGAATTCTGAGCTCTATCCAAATATAAATCCATGAAATCTAACCATCACTTTTTTCTCCTGTGTACAAATGACAGATTATCTGCATGGCTGATTTCAATATGCAAAGTTATTATGTGTAATTAGAGGAAAAAAGAAATCAATGAAATGATAGTGAGGTGGGGGGTAATAAGGACACAAAGCAGCCAGCCGGCAAAGATGAGCTTGACTTAAATGTTGTCTAACAGCATTTTAAAAAGGTCAAAGAGAACAAAAGAGTTACTCTTCTCATCACTTCAGGGAGAACTCACCAAACTGAAAAGTAAGTCTAATGTCCAGCACTAGAAACGTCAGCTTGTGTTGCACTTTTACCCGGAGCGAAGTATGACAACTTTAATGTGAGAGGTTTCTGTGATACTTAACAGAGTTAATGTTCATGATGCACCTGATATTTTGTTGTTTGTTTGTTTGCTGTGGAGCGACTGCTGTGTGAACATAATGAGGGAAATGAAGACATAACCACACTCACATTTCTCCCTCTCACTTTTAATCAATGGTGTAACACCACAACACACCACAGGTGATTTACCATAGACATGATATTTCATACAGGGACAAGGATATAAAAGAAACATAAGGCAATAAAAAAAAGAAAAGAAAAAGATTAAGATTAAATATAAAGGGACAGATGCTCCATGTTTAGGGGTAGAGGGCATGGAGCCATAGAGGGGAGCAAAGACTCAAATTCTTTTTATTTGAGAATGAGGCAGAGCTGCTCCTGCCAGACCATCAGGAGGAGGCTGACCAGTCAGAGACAAGACCCTGTTTCCCAACCTGAGCAGCCCCCAACAAACCCTCATGGAAACTGCTTGTTCCTGTTGAGCTCGTAGGATTTGAACAGAGGACGGTGTCAGAGTTCAGGTTCAGTATCAGCATGTAGCATGGTGAGCTGCTGCTGCTTACAGAGGCTTTAATGTAACTGAGAGAACACACATTTGATGCCTTTAACGACCAGTGTTGATGAACAAAATGCAGAACTGTGATGTGCTAGCTCAGAATGTGAACATCATCTGAGCCATTATCAACCTTTAACTGATTTTATAACCTGTTACCTTGTCTCGGAAATTTGAAACATTTCTTTAACATTTTTTTTTTTTTAATTTAAAAAAAAAGGTGTTTACAGGTGGAATGCAACTATCATGGCTTTCAAGCTATCAAGGTATAGCAGTTTTAATGTCACTGGATCACTGTTGCACTGTTCTCTATGGGCTGACAATGTCAACATGAACTTCTGACCACACAATAATCAGTGATGTGACAGGGTGTACTTGGTATTTGATTTTTGTGATTTTGTATTTGTGTCAATTTACCCATTAAGACATGATTTAACTGCTTGTCCTAATATGACCAGTAGGTGGCAGTGGAGGTCTAAGTTCCGTTAGCTGCATGTTTCCACTGTCTATACAGTGTTTGGAAGAAGTACTCAAAAAGAAATATTACTGCAGGAGAGGTCAGTGTCCTTACATGAAAATCTTGGTTAGGGCTTGAGAGTGTTGGCACTGAAATAAACAAGCATCAAAAAAAAGTTTAAACATGCATTTGTTAGGACAAAGCAGACATGGACGTTTTTTTAAAACCTTTTTTCATGCTCCAAATTTTGTCAAAAGTGTCTGGTGTTGAAGTTAAAGAAGCTATCTCAGAGTGGTGGTACCCTGAGGATGGCATCAAAATTAGGAAACGTTTTAATAGTAAACATTGTGGCCTCAAGTTAAGTAGTTAAATACTTAAACAATTCATTTTTCATCACTAAATAAGACCAATAACTATGAACCAATAAAAAGGAGCTATTTGTAAGTTTTCACATTGCTACATAGCCAACGTTAGCATTCACAGCTGTTTACTCATCAGTCTTCACAAGAACTTCAGTCTTTGTTGTGATAACAATACAAGCAGGTAATAATACTACCTCTGAGCAGCACTACTTCTTCAGGGCAGCCTGGACGCCACAGTGACTCAGTATCGGAAAGTGATGAGATGGGCAGACAGGGCCCGAGCTAGCTGGTTAACATGCTAACTTTAGTACAAGAAAAGAAGAGATAGAAACAGACAGCTCTTGGCGAGTCAAGGAATTAAGTTTGATGCTGAACTCGGGTTTCTTTTAGACTGGTAGTTAAACAGCTGTTAATGCTAACGTTAGCTATGTAGCAATAGAAAAATCTTTCATATGGCTCCTTTTTAAAGACTATTTACAAATATTATTTACAAATTAATGATCCATATAGATTTGAAATTCTGTGCTGTGATCACATCTTTATATTAATATTCAATCTCATGTCAGGCTGAGGGTTAAAACAAATGTTAAAATCTGCAATAGTGATATTTATTCTCTTGGTTCTCATTCAGTTGCACAAGGACAAAACACAAACAAGTCTCAATTTGTGGAAAAGCCAGTGAGCTCAAAGTCAGACAAAGAAACAGACCCAGTCAACCGTGATTGTCCAAATAGCAGCTCCTTTAATCAGTTCTTCTGTCAACCATTTAAAGCCCCTCAGCACCTATAGTCCACCCACACAGTTGTTTTCATTTATGTTGCTTGATTAGACTTCTCAGGAGTGTGTAGGTGTGTGACGACCTGTGTTTGACATTAAGTGAAAACACGTGTGAACACCTTTCTCCCCTCACCGTGAGAGGATCCTTTTTAGAATCCATATGCAGCGCAGTGTGCGGAGTTTAATACGGCGTGCGAGGTGATTCCTGTTTTGAAATGCAGGCTCCACTTGAACCGTGCGCCTTTTTAAAAAACACTGTTTCAAAATTTCCAATTAAGCTTGTATGAACAGGGAAGCTGCTCAGCCTCTTCATAGTAATGATTTCATAATACACATCTACTTAAACATGATAGATGTTACCGCTGCAGGTTACTCAACACTGTGAGCATGACTGAATACTGAATCTATAGGTGGAGGGAAACAGTCTAAAATGCCTCGGAGCACAGATGTTTAGCGATTTAGCGATGCTCACCTGCGCCATCGACAACATATTCAACTCATCTACAAACCAAAACTGGTCCTGGAGCGAAGCGAAGCACCAACACCGTCAGAGCTGTAATAACAGGCAGTAATTAAAGCTCATTTCACGCTCCTGCAGTTTGTGATGCCACACACACACACACAGCTATTTGTCAAAATTAGTTGGGATTCTCAGACAACACACACACACACACACACACACACACACACACACACATCACATCTGTCAATCAATCTTTCAAATCAATCTCTCTGGTCGCACTGATCAGGAACACTGACGCTGGCGAAGGCCGCGCGGCCGAGTTGAGGGTAATGGACAGGAAAGACGCAACTCATTCATCTTTGGAGAGAGCTGTCATGTTTTTAATGATGTGATCAGCCATGTTTTATCTTTTTGTTTGTTGTTGTTGTTTTTGTAGTATCTCACCCTTCAGTTTCTGCTGTCTTCTATTTCTGTCTCAGTGCTCCAGACGTAAGGTATTTATTTATGTTAAATAATGAGAAATCATTTGGAAGGGAGCTCGGCTAATTTTCATGTATTGAGAATAAACCCAGAGAATATTTTTGTTTTTTTCTGCCTGGCTCTGTGGGGAAGGTTTTGACAGAAGCACTTAGGGCTTGCACATCTGGGATTAAAGTTCACTGAAAGTATAAATGAACAATTAACCGAATGAAGAAAATAAGAAAAGTCCTTGTTTTGGTTTGGAGTCAGTTTTCTGAGAGTGGTGGTGTGGTGCGTTGGGGGAGAATAGTGACTTCAGCATTTCTAAAAATCCTTCAGTCGACTACTGGTGCAGTCTCCTCTTCAAATCAGTGGCAGATGCTGATTAAGAACAAGGATTTAAAGCTTATAGTCACAGCCTCACTGGTCTAAACATTATGGCGTCCATTGCCCGATCAGATGCAGACTTAATGTTGCATGAGTGAGAGCTGGTTTTGCTTGGAGGCGGCTTACACAGTCGGTGCTTTAGAGT